ATACAGGTTATGGAAATATTAGTTGTAATAGGAAACTTTAGTTCCTGTCTAGGTATGTCTGTCATGCAATACATTGGATTTGAAATGAATGTTATTTTATAAAAATAATTATGTTCGAATTCAGATGAATGAAAAATTGATTTACTACATGACACTATGAAGACATTGTATTCCAGATAACACCACACCTAATCTTCTCGGGCTATAAGAAGCCTGTATTTTGTATAGTTACCGCAGCAAATAGGAAAATTTCTGAACTCTTGGAATTTTTCTTCCTCCTTTGGGTTAGGAGCATTAAATCACAATGGAAATATTTCGACACTCATAGTTCAAATGACATTCACATTCAACTATAATAATAATAATAATAATTATAATGATAATAATAATAATAATAATGAATAAAATTCCTAAATTGACAATGATATTACAGATACAATTATTCTGCTGTCTGCAAATACACTAAAAAACCACAAAGCCTAGTAGCTGTTCGTGGCATCGAACATCAACTTTCAGACCGTGGTTGCAGTCTCAATGAGCACAGTGAAAAAAACGTTGCTGAATGGTTTGAAACCGAACAAGGGGTATATCTCAAACGTTGATTCAACGAAAAAATGTCGCACGATAAAACGTTCTTTTCAACAAAATTACCCACTAAATACAAACGTATTTTGAGAACGTCTTTTCAACTTGAGTATCAACGTGACATAGATATAGATAGATAGATAGATAGAAAGATAGATATATTCATTCAGATTCAGATTGATAACATTCTCGATATAATATTATACGAAGTCAAAAATAAAAAGAAGTACATCATGCTTAACGATCTGAGGCCACCTATGCTGAGCTTGTATTCTGGAACTTCAGACTGCGAAAGTCATGAGTATAGCACGCATACGTTCATACATTTCCAAGAATATTACATACATATACATACATATATATATATATATATAGTGAAAGGGTAGTCTCCTGACTGGACTAGTTGAAGAAAACTATGTGTTAGGAAAACAGCTAAAATCTCTATTTTCCTTGAGGTTGCAGTCAAAGGGAATGGCCAATGTAGAGAAAAGACTCTTTGTTAAATTGAATGAATGAAAGAAAATGAATTTTCTTGACAAAGTTTCACAGGACCAGTAAGGTTCTAATAAGACTTGTAATGTAATGTTTTTTAATATTTTTAATATTTTTTAATATGTTTTTAAAAATAGTGCAGTGTTTTAAGTTACTATGATGTGCATTAGCTGTTTTCCATGTAACCACTCAAGTTAATGTCTTGATAATGAAAATAAAATTTTTCGAAAGCTCGACAATTTAACAAAGAGTCTTTTCTCTACATTGGCCATTCCCTTTGACTGCAACCTCAAGGAAAATAGAGATTTTAGCTGTTTTCCTAACACATAGTTTTCTATATATATATATATATATATACATACATACACATAGATACATACATATACATCCATGATCAAATTTAGAAGATGTAATATACATGTTTTGTTTGGAACTACCTACCCTTATCAATTATACCTATACTAATACAATGAATTGAATGAATACTAATTGTATTATAATGAGTGAGTGAGAGAAAGAGAGAGAGAGAGAGAGAGACAAATATTTGCTCATTCAAAAATATTCCGCAACTGGTCATAATGATTTGCAATAAATAAATTTATTTCTGATTTTAGTTTCATATGTGTCTTGATATTCTTTATAGAGACAGGTAATTGATTATACAATTCAGGACCAAAATGAGTGATAAATTGATTATGACTCAGCCTACATCGTGGAATATTCATAGCCTGGGTTGAAGCCAAGCGTGTATTATGTGGATGAGAAATTACTTCTATAGGTTTGCCCAGTATCCATAGTAGACACTCATAGGCATAAAGTAATGTTTTGACGTTCCATTATTGTCGATAATAAACGTTTATTCAACATTTGATTGACGTTTGAAAATGACGATTTGAACAAGTTGATAAAGTGAGTTTTTTCAACGTTCACTCCGGATAAATTTTCAATCGTCGAATTTTCTGTTTTTCGAACGTTACTCAAACGTTTCAGCTAGATTATTTCTCGTTATTTTTGTGTCCACAATGAATGTATTATCATTCTTATAATCATTGCAATACTTGCTTTTGGGTGTATGATAAATTGACATTCATCATACAGGACGTGGAAAGAAAATTCGTAATTGAAACTATCACGAATCTGCGATTAGAGGTCTATAAAAATCACAAGTTTCCATCGGTCAAGTTTGAACCCCCTGATTGGGTATGAAAGTGTTGAAAAGGAATATTCTCAGATAAATTATGAACATACAAAAATGGATATATATTTATATAAAGCAATACGTTGAGAATTCGCATTCTCTATGTGATGAGAATATTAACTCTTTTTCAGTTGATTCAATAGAAAACAACTACTTTCCTGGCTATATGCCACGACGAACATTGTATTATATCTATTGAACACACACGATAAGAGTTTGAAAATAAAATATAAAAACTTCTGAAATTGAGAATTTGCATTCTCCTTCAGACAAAAATATGTATATGCATCACACATCGCTCTGAATATTCAACAGAAAACAACTACTTTCCTGGCTATTTGCCTCGTCGAACATTGAATTATATCTGATGAACATTCAAAAGGAGAACATGAAAAATAAAGAATAAAATTCTCCGAAATCGAGAATTGACATTCTTCTTCAAATCAGATGAACAATATGCTGAATATATTGGTAAGCTATATTTCTATATCATTATACATTATATTATTCATCCGATTTGAAGAAGAATGTCAATTCTCAATTTCGGAGGATTTTATTCTTTATTTTTCATGTTCTCCTTTTGAATGTTCATCAGATATAATTCAATGTTCGACGAGGCAAATAGCCAGGAAAGTAGTTGTTTTCTGTTGAATATTCAGAATGATGTGTGATGCATATACATATTTTTGTCTGAAGGAGAATGCAAATTCTCAATTTCAGAAGTTTTTATATTTTATTTTCAAACTCTTATCGTGTGTGTTCAATAGATATAATTCAATGTTAGTCGTGGCATATAGCCAGGAAAGTAGTTGTTTTCTATTGAATCAACTGATAAAGAGTAAATATTCTCATCACATAGAGAATGCGAATTCTCAATGTATTGCTTTATATGTATAAATATATATCCATTTTTGTATGTTCATAATTCATCTGAGAATATTCCTTTTCAACAATTGCAATTCTTATTATTATAACTTACTAACCTGATATGCGTCCATGTATTTCCTTTCCGTTCCACTTCCTTCCTAGTGACGTACCAATCTTCACGTTTTCCTATTCCAATTTGCTCGACCAGTCGTATTTGTACCTAAACTCTTGGTGTAAGCGTCGGCGAGATGTGAACGGAATGAATACACGTTGTCTAATGACGATTATCAAACGTTGTTAGGAAACATGTATTACACCCTTTTTTCACCAACTGTTATCAAATACTTTTGAAAACGTTCAAGTTACGTTCATTTCAAGAGTTCAATAAACGTTAGTTCACTATAAGGAGTTTGACGGATCGATGAAAAGTAGTTTTGTAACAACTTATTATAAACTTTGACGAATAACAGTTGCAAAACATTCTTGAAAAACGTTTCATTCACGTTCTTCTCCAACTCTTGGTCAGAAAATGTTGACAGATTCTCGTTACAGAAATATTTATTTCGAACGTCTAACTAACGTTTCGGAGAAACGTTTTATTAATGCCTAATTTCAACAGATCATTAGGACATATTGTTTTCAATACATTTATGAAACGTTCAGATTCAACTCCATTTCAAGAGTTTAACTAAAGTTTGGGACAAACAACGTTAGTTTTTCTCACGACAACTTATATCACACGTTGGCGAATAACAGTTGAAAGATGTTGTTAAAAAACGTTTCATCCGCGTTCTTCTTCCACATCCAGATTCAAAAACAAACAAACAAACATCTTTGACTAAAGCTTCTGGATGTGGTTGATGCAGAGACAAAATCGCTGAGACGGCAAGAGTGCATAAAAATCGTGATCGAAACCACAGATCCAGACAAGAAGTCTGCAAGAGGTTAAAAAGTGGTAAAGTTGAATAATTGATCATCCATCGCGCGTATATATCTGTTAAACTTTGTGCTAGTCGACTGATTCGAGGACATCTCGTTGTAGGTAATGCTTTGAAAATTTTTTGTGTCGGTAATTTTTTTCACTACATCTGTATGCGCACATATAGCGTACGTACGCACCATTATTTTATTGATTAATCTCTAGTAGAAGTCCAACATTTCTCAAAGTGGAGTGTAGTTGTAATAACTGAATAAAACTCGAAATCAGCTCCACGACAGTTCACTATATGAATAAGTCACATCAGGGGGAACATGTTTTCAGACATACATATGTCCATCATCAGCCTATTAGAAATTAGTCCTACAAGAGACAAAAATGAGTGTAAAGTGAAAATCTCACCATACAATCGCTTACATGAAGGTGAAAAAATATCTGCAATACAGTGAAATGAATAAAAAACACATGTAGTATCAGAACATTACTAAAAATTTGTTTATCAAATTTGAAAGACATTTTTATGAAACCCTACATTATGGTTTATGGTGAGTCAAACACGAGCCGGTCCCATAGCATCGGGGCCACCGGAATGATGAAGAAATTTTTTTTTGAAATATCAAGATTAACTGCCATTTTGACCACTTGGGTAGCAATCAGCAAGTAGTGGAGGACGGAAATCTCATGAGTTAATCCCGTGCAGATATCTTTTTACCTTCATGTGAGCGATTGTATGGTAAGATTTCCACTTTACACTCATTTTTGTCTCTCGTAGGACTGATTTCTAATAGGCTGATGATGGACATTTGTATGTCCGAAAACACGTCCCCCCTGATGTGGCTTATTCACATAGTAAACTGTCGTGGAGACGATTTCGAGTCTTATCTAGTTATCATTTCATTAATTGTAATTTTGATTATCTAGGTAGGAGTAACGACAGCAGTGGCGAATTCGTAGTAAAAATGATGGCATTCAAACAAGCAGAAATACTGTGCAAAAATGATGACGTAGAAGAAGTTGTACAAAGAGTCTTCAATGACAGATCCGGTTTCAAATTGGTACTTCAAGAGAAGGGACTCAGTGGCGATTGGATATGCCTTATTGTCCACATCTTGAGTAAAGTATCTCGCAGCAGCTTCCAAACTACCAAACTGAAGATTTACAAGGACGCCTTCGCTGATAGCTCGTTTGCTAAGCAACTGAAGTCGTTCATTGCCGATTTACGGTTACAGGATGATGAGGAAAAGAGCAGAAACAGCTTCTTCTGGAGAGACAGTGACAAGTTCTGGAATGAAATCATTGCAATCTTCAAGGACATTACTACTTTCCCGACTCTCGCTGGCGAGACATTACCTACTCTCATCAAGGCCATAGTGAAAAATCTCCCGGACTTGGAGGAAGATCAAAATATGCATATATCTGAAGGTAATCTGATCATTTCGAGACTTTTTTGGTTGGCCCTCACTGCAGGGGTCTTCACAAAGTAACTTTATCCACAGGGTTCGTGAATATTCAGGCAGGAAGAAGAATTGCGGATGTAGACATTGAGACGACTTTTCAAAATACAGTAATGTTATTTGTGGGCAGAGGTAAACACTAGGTGACAATTCATTCCTAAAATGAAGTAAGGAAAGGAACACTCATATTATTACTGACTTGTGTACACGGCACATTTGTAAAATGTGCATAGGAAAAAAAAACTTCTCAGTGAACATTTCTGAAATTCATACCAATAGGCCGCTGCACTGTCTTTTTCTCTCCTAGATGTCCCCCTAAAGTTCCATCATGTACATATTCGAATATTTCCGACACTTGACTCCTTGAAATTACTAACTGCATCCGGCGATTATTCGACCCGTCATCGCTCTCGAAATTTCTCTTCAGTAGGTCATCTTATAATGTGAAAACTGACTCCAGAATGGCTCTAAGGTGAGTGAAGATGGTGCTACTTCTGAGTTGATGCTTATCTTCTGGTACTGGCAATTGTTTGACTGCTCGTACCTTCTCGGGGTCAACCTCCACACCCTGATGGCTGCCTACGACGTGTCTTAAGTAGTTGACCCGTTTTTGCAGCAGATGACATTTCTTCAGGTTAAGCGTGAGATTTGCCAGCTTGTATGCCCACGATAATGTCATTCAAATAAACCAGACATGTCTTCTAGAAGAGTCTTCTCTATATATCCTCCATGATTCGTTCAAAAGTGGCCGGAGCATTGCAGAGTCCAACTAGCATAAACTTGAATTGCCATAACCCAGTGCCGATGGTAAATGCTGTCTTTTCCTTATTCACCGTGTCCATTTCCACCTGCCAATATTCACTTTTCAGGTCCTGAGTAAAGGAAAGATTCGATTTTGCCAACGTGTCGAGTGTGTCGTCAATACGCGTTAAATGGTAGAGGTCTTTCTCTGTTACGTTGTTGAATCGGCGATAGTCCACACAGAATCAGGTGTTTCCATTTTTCTCCTCACCTAGGACCACTGGTGGAGCCCAGGGACTATTCGATGGCTCGATTATTTTGTTACATCCATATCCTGGATGATCTTGTCTGCAATTCCTTTCTTGGCCTGTGGTAAACTTCGGGCTGGTTGACTCGGTCTGTATCGATTTCGTGACTCACGATAATAGTTGTATCTATTTTCCATTGGCTGCTATGGAAATGGTTTCATACCTCTGCAGTAACTTGGTTAACTTCTTCTGCTGTCGATTGTAAAGTTCTCTGGAGGTGGCCCACCTGCCGAAATTTCAACAGCGAACTGATCTCCTCTTTTTATCCATGAGACCCTCGATAGCGTCAATCAAGGCTTCATTTGAATCTCGCCTGTGGTTCTAGGTTATGTTCTCGCTGTCATTCATGGCTTGACCTCTCGCTGATCCTCGTGTCTGCCGCGGCCTCGATCTCAAGCGCAGCTGTCAGATCACTTGTGAGGTATTTCGGTCGAGTCAGGCAAACTGCTTTCTGCATTTCAATATCTCGTAATCTATCCACGAATGTTCGAACAGCTAGATAATCCATCAGGGATTCGGGGACTGACGGATAGGTACAGTGGACCGTGGACCAATCGGGCTACATCCACTTCGAATTCCTGCAGGCTCACGTTGACTTTATTTCGACGGCTCATCATCTGTAATTGAAATACTTGCTGCAGATGTTCATGGCCATATCGCATATCCAGGCGTTTGCCAAGATGATCGCAGCTATCGGCTTCACCTTCTGGAATAGCTATTGTGAGAGCCACTACCTTGTTCTTGAATGTCCACCTATTGGCTTCAGAAGCTGCTTTGAAATGCTTGAGATAATTTGGCCACGATGTTTCTCCATCAAATGTATATAGGCGCCGGCTTCACTCGAATGGTAGCAGTCACCGCATCTCGCCCTTCTTTCGTTTTCGTCATGAGTGGTTGACTGTTTCTTGACTCCTCCAGCATAGCTCTCCTGCAATATTGTAACTTCTATATGAGCTGATATCTGGTCCTGCTGCGACACAACTTGTTTTTGCTGATCCCCGATACGATCTTGAATTTGAGCCAATACCTCTTCCCAGTACCTCTTTTTGCAGAGTTAACATCTCGGCCGCAATTATTTTCTGCTGAGCAGCCATGTCCTGTCTCTGACCTGCTATCTCCTCTGAGCAGTGATCTGGGCCATGATCTTCTCTTGCTGAGCCACCATCTGGTCCGGAATGTCCTGTCTGTTAGCCGCTATCTGGTCCGTGATCATGCCTTGCTGAGCCAAAATCTCCTCTTGCTGAGCTCTCAATGGTCGGTATCGAAGACGCCATTCAATTGTATATACAGGGTGTCCCAAAATTACCCTGCCAAACTTCACCAGCGGCTTCTACGATAAAAAATAGGAAGGAAAGTTTCAATGAACATGAGACGATAGGAATGTCTCCTAACGAAACTACGGCCCCCTGAAAGGGGGCTCCTGAAGTTAATAATTCTTGAGTATTTTCGAAACCTCATGGGATAAAAAGACGCAATTTGGTATAGAAACTATACTTCCCATGTCCAATGCGGTGAGAATGAAATTATTTCAAAATTTCACTCAGTAGTGTATGATACAGGGTGGGACTACATTAAATATCGCTCAAATTTTTTTTATGAATAAATTTCGACAATTTAATCTCGGATAATGAAAATCAATACCGTTTCACAAAAAAAGGTAATCTTGTTCCGTATCGATTAGATGTATTATTTTCGGGTGAAATCGATTTGAAAATATTGATACACTCACATCTTATGGATAACGTCGTACGGAAAATGTACGTCTCAACGCTATTTTGTTACAGCTTCAAAAATGAGAATGCTGGAGTATCTTGTGTTTTCCTATATCTCTCTAATTAACGTAGGAAAAAGATAAATACGATTCCCATGATACAGTTCTATCTTAGACACAGTGTATATTACGTTGCAATTTATTTAATTTTCTCTGTTTCTTTATCAAAATTTCAATTTCATTACATAGTTTTTCAATCAATTCCTCTTTCTCCATAATAATTTTCTTTTTCATTTCGTGTGATGATAAACATTTTTTTTCTTCAAATAGTTCCGTGAATGAAACAGCAGATTCTCTCTATCAGATCTTGAGATCTCCTGTTCAAAAATTAGCCTAAAATGTACTTGCATCCTAATCTGCTGTTATAAGGAGTGAATTTCAATGTATGTACCTAACAAATTCTGCTTGTCTTCAAATTTATTTTTCATCCAGGCCGTTTCATATATTCCTTTCATAGGATAATGGTTGATATTTCCATTGGAAAATTGCATAAATGGAATCCATTCTCTTCACAATTCTTAGAATTGATTACACAGCAGGACATTTTCATCTATGCTTTCTTGTCGATAGTTTATGAAATTATATTTCAATTCTGACGTTCATGAAATGTATCGTCAAATTCAGACAATTTCGAATGGAGAAGCGCGGGACGACTCCAAAGTGTTACACATTTCGAGAAATCATTGCTCATAGATTATGAATTGGATGTTATAGTAATTCGTTTTTAAGATTCTACACAACGAGCTAAAAATGTTTTAATTACTTTCAAATCTCATTACGTGTTCAATATCGATGAAATACGTAGGTATTCAACTTCTCAAGAAAAATAGATACATTTGAATAAAATATTTGACAAAACAATCATTATAACTTATAGGTATCGACCTATTCATCAAATTTGGTAAGATTCGGGTAAACGATGATGTCTCTAAATGAGTATACCTAATACTTTGTAATATAGTTGAATATGCTCAAAATGTTCTTACCTATCACCTTCTTTCAAATATACGTCGGTGAACTGAAGACCCTGTATAGTGCATGTGTGCGAAATCTAGAGGAACAATTTAAAGATAATTTTCGAAAACAGTTGAATACATAGTTCGGCGCCAATTCAGGGTATTGGCTATTTACCTACCCATAATAATATTATATTATTGTTTCGCTCCTTTGCTCCAATTATATTATAGGGGAAGTGTATAATCTCTGCTCCAACGTTCTTCCCGCATGTCGCTAGGTGATCTGTGGCGATTTCTGTTTCAGAATCCATTATTCAAAATAAATACGTATGATATGTATCTAAAATAAGTTATTAATTATCATCTATTTGATTTTGGCACATTCATTTGATTATAACCTCTGATTTCAATTAGAGCAAGAGCATTTTTTTACATATCTCCTAATAATTTACAGTTGCAACTGTAATTTAGACAGGAAAAACCTCTTTTTAAAAATATCTCCCAATTCACAGTTGCATCTGTGGGCTCCATCAACTCTTTTTTTTTTTCAAATCTTAAAAAGAGTCAGGTAGTACCTTTGTTTTGAAGGCATCTCTATTTCCTATTGAACACTGCTTCCTTTGTGCTAATTTGCCAAAATGAGAAACTTTCGAAGTTTACCTATAATTCACGTTAGGATTGAATTCCAAAAATGTTTTTTTTCGTGTCGATATGTGAACGGTGAACATTTCGAGCATTTCGAGCACGGTTCACGATTTTTACTCACAGTTTTGCTGTAATTGAAATATATTCAGAATTTTTATCCATAAATATTGATACTTGAGGCAAATTCGAAATGCTTATCTTTTTTTCATCGCTTGAAGCGCACGAAGAACATCGTGCGTTCCTAGGGAGGATAGGGACAGGAGGTAGGTATTGGAATTTTTTTTGAACTTCTGGAAATTATATGTTGTTGGGAATACTTCCTCAGGCAATGAAATCCAGAGCCTAGACGTTCTATGGATGAAGGAGTTTTGATTAAGTGCTGTCCGACATCTTTCGAGGTTGACAACGAAAGGATGTGATGACTGGGCTTGTCTAGTTCGTCTGACTGGTATTGCTAGTGAAGGGATGATAGCAGAGATTTCCGAAGAACATTTCCCGCGGAAGTATCGATAGAAAAGTGAAAGGTCGCCGACTTTTCTACGGTGTTCCAATGATGTCAAAGAGTGAGTGAGTGTGGCGTCATCCACCAGGCGAACGGCTCTTTTCTGGATGAAATCTAAGAGCATCAGCGTATGTTTCGGTGCTGAGCCCCATATGTGGGAACAGTATTCTAGAACAGGCCGTATCTGTGCTTTGTAGATCATGAGAAGCTGTTGAGGTGTGAAGTACCTTTTCGCACGGAACAAGAATCCGAGTTTTTGTGAAGCAGGTTTTGCGATGGATCTGACATGATTATTCCATGAAAGAGTGTTGCTGATGGAAATACCGAGCATAGATATGGTGGGCTTGGTGAGGATGGTGGTGCCAGAAATTATAATGTCGGGCATACTGAGGTCCGCCATTCTAGTGAAAATACAGGCTTGAGTTTTGGTGGCCTTGAATTCAACTAGGTTGTTGGTTCCCCAGGCTGTGATTTCAGCAAGGTCTTCATCGACAGCATTGACCTGCCTGCGCCGTGAGTTCTTAGTTTTCTGGGAAGAAATGGGAATTCTGGAAGAGAACGCAGTATGGAGGGTACTATCATCTGCAAAGCTTTGGATGGGGCAAGTTGTTACTCCCAACAGATCATTGATATGAAGAGGGAATAATGTTGGTGCCAAAATTGATCGTTGTGGAACTTCGGAATTGATGCCAATGGTATCAGACGATACACCGTCCACCAACACATGAAGCGATCTGCCTGAGAGAAAACTCGATAAGAGATGGCATCATAGCTTTCATTTTGAAATGGCTTGGCCGATTTGCACAAACATAGCGGTGTTGCATAGAGAATCGAAATGCCTGTAAAACCACGAACCATGAGATCCTACTTTTCTAGGTAGAAGTCCAAGGTTTCTCAAAGTGGGGTAAAGTAGTAACTAGTAAATAATATTCGAAATCATCTTCATGACATTTCGATATGATCAATAACGATCTAATCAATAGGTACATTTTTCGGACATATATAGTGTGTGCGATTCCAACCCGCAACATCCTCCTAATTCGGAACCCGTCGAATGATTTACAAAAACAAAAATTTCATAATGTAGTACTCATCGAGCTCTATTCGAGAATGTGAAAAAAATTTCAATATTCAGATTTTCAAAGCCTACTTTTGTTTGTTGAAGGGGTAAAAATTCCAAAAACTACTATTAGGCAATTTTTTTCTACACTGTGACTAGCCTATTCGATTCAGTCATAGCTGAAATACTCCCATACGAAATTTGAACGCAAATTCTCATATAGGGTGTCAGTTATTCAGTGGCTAATTTTGATATATGCGATATTTCGATTCACCCTGTATAAAAATCTAAGGAGTTGATGTAACCGGTGAAGTAGTCATTCAATGGAAAACATATCGAATACTAGATTAGGGAGTTCCATCGTTCTTTCATCTATATACAGGAAGATCTCTCTGAGCCATCCAAAAATTAATAAAATTGAAGTTGAAACATTTTTCATTATGATCCATACCTTTTTTCCTGCAAATATAAATAATGGTTACTAATTCGAGGGAATATTCTCCATGCATTGAAATTTCCATTGTCATCCCAAATTACTTTCCATTTCGTCAAAATCTGTATATTATTATGATCACATTAAGTATCAGTAAATCCCTTTGCATTCTTTGGAGAGTGTTTGTCTGTTATTCAGTTTTTATTATTCGACAGTTCTTCATCGATCGAGACGATTTTTAGAGTTACAGTGTGGTGGAGTGTGTGAAAAAATGGTGAACCTCAACTTTGGTTTTATTGATTTTTGGTTAACCTATAGAGAGATCTCCATGTTGAAGTTACAGCGATGAAACTTCGTATTCAAGTAATCGATATGTTTCTCATTTGAATAACTACTTCAGCAAATATATCAATTCTTTGGATTTTAATACAGGATGAATCGAAAAATCAAAAATATGAAAATTTGACATTGAACAACTAACACCCTATATGAGATTTTGCGTTCAAATTTCGTATGATGATATTCAAGCTATGCCTGAATCGAATAGGCTAGTCACTGTGTTGACATAAAGTTGCCTAATAGTCGTTTTCGGAATTTTGACCCATTCAACGAACAAAAGTAGGCCTTGAAAATCTGAATATTTCAGATGTGTCAACATTTCAGAATAGAGCTCGTTGAGTACTATATTATGAGATTTTGGTTTTTGAGAATCTGTCGACGTGTTTCAAATTAAGAGAGTGTTGCGGGTTGAAATCGCACACACTGTATATGTTCATCTGAAGTCTAATAAAATTACTACATCTCTGTCGTGAGAATAAAAAGAGGATGTTTGATCTGAATATTAAAAAAGAAGGACGAGAGTTCCATTTTGTTGAAGATGGAAAACCCAATAACCCCAAATTGGACACACAGCAGTTAAAGAGGGGGGGGGGCGGACTTTTCACATCTTTACTGTATATACAGAAAATACAAAACCGTCAAATTTTCAAATGAGTGAGCTTTCTTTGGGTCCAAATGTTATGCGTTTATTCCTTAAGAAAAGTGAATTTAATTGTTGTGAAGTTCTTTCCGTATACAATGGATGCCCATCAATATATGACCGAATCAATATAAAACTTGTACGTTCGTTTTTCTGTATTTTGAAACAAAATCTTTCAGGTATCAAAGAAGAATTCTTGGTTTTAAAGACTAAAGTGGAAGACATGAAGCAACATATGAAGGATCGTTATCACTCAAAGCAGACGACGACTCATTCTAATGACAATAGAGAAAATGAAGATGATTGGATACCACCGGAAGACTTCAGGACTATAAGTGTGCTGCCCAATGTCCAAGAAGTGACGTACAAGGAAACACCGTTTTTGCGCTGTAATAAGCTGAAAGGGAGTTACAAGTAAGACTGAGAAGATATTTGCTATTCTACTAATATAATAATAATGAAGGTGATGGAAAATGAAAAAACTCCACCGCCTTGCGTGAGAGTCGAACACACAACCGCTGTGTTACATGCCCAACGCTTTGCCAATTGAGCTAACTAGACATCCGTCGATCAATCGACAGGAAGGTCAAGTTCTCATCACACATTAGGCGGCAGAATCCCTCCAAATCACGAAGTCACTCGAAATTATGCACTATATGAAGCATCGCTGGGCATGATGGTACTATATGTATACAGTCGCCAGTTTACCCAGTTCGTCCTCTGGCATTGTCTTTCCTTCTATACAGAAATGTCCGCAAGCAATCTATACAAAGGCGTGAGTCATAATAATTGTCGTCAATTACTCAGATCGAGTGTTCAATAACGAGTGTCAAGAAGAGGTTATAAACACGTTACATATACTATACTTCCTCGACGAACTCACAATTCTTATCTTCGACGATATCATATCCCTAACAAACACAGGAATGTCCTAGATACGTCCCTTTTTTGTCCCACGGTACAAGGACATGATTGGGGCATTCAGGGGATGTCCCGCAGTGATTGTCCAGTGAACATCCCGCCGGGTACATCCCTAGATTTTCCTATTCATGTTCCTAGAATATCTGATCTATCCATTCACGTCAGAGTCATTGAATTCCATTAAAATATTGAGTTGTATTTTTTGGAAAATGTTTGTTTTTCTTCTGGAATGAGGGACATAGTCTCAGGACTTCTTAAGAAATTACCATTTTTCGCAGACTGGAATCGTAAATGCATGATGCCCCTCATTTTTAAAAAATCAAGAATGATAATAATTATACATGAAATCCTTAAAAAGTTGTATTCATTCAGGTTTCAGTTTGTACTGTTTATGAAGCTGAGTAGGAGTCGGGTTACTCCAGACCACCCCCACCCCTCCACTTTTCTCCAAACCATGTGACCCGACTAGCCAATCACAGGCCGGCCAGACTCGGCTAGCTACTCGCGGCCCCACGAACGGAGCGAAATTCGAATTGTATGACGTCATGACATCATCGTGAATAATTAAAAAAAGACCTTCACCCCTGGGGATCGAACCGTTACCACCGATACAACAAGGCCTGCACGCTTCGCAATAAACATCTAGTGACGTCACATACTCAGGCCATCTTCCAAGGCATTCGCGTCGGTCGATCGTCAGTTTGTTTCTGTTTAAGAACGGTGGCGTAGGTAAATCGCGTGTGCTCGAATTCTCTTGTTGTTTATTCATCAAAATAATTGGCGGAGAAATTACTGTTTTGTGAAATATTTCGTGTTGTGATAAGCGAAATAACAATGCCTTACAAGTGTTGTGTTCCTTTTTGTCGGGGGAATTATGTGGGTGGTCCAAAAGTTCATTCTTTTAGTTTCCGGTTTGACAAGGAATTATCGAAGAAGTGGGTATATGGCATGGTGAATTTGGCACAAGCACTTACCAAAAGTGAAACTGAATTCGAAAATTACCAAAAATTATTTTGCTACACAGAATTTCAAGAATTTCTAGTTCTATTAGAGTCTTTTCAGTTGCCCGAAAAGTGGTTCAAAATTATCGATTTGCAAAAAGTCATATTATTCAAATTGTCTTATTCTCCAGAGCCCGTAATTACATATTCGGTTGTGATTGATTTTGTTTTGAATGTGGAATCATTTTTGTATGACCTAGCGATACAAACATCTCTAAAAGCCAATCTGAAAACACCTTTTATCTCTAATAATATCAATCAAATCAAGGAATTACAAATTGAAATAGATAAAAACGAGATACATAATTCGGGAAAATGTCTTGATAATCAGAAAAAGAGGTTTTGAAACATATTTCGAATGCATTGGACTCTTCGGTTTCTGATTCGGTTTCAGATCTTGATGGAGATTCCGAAAACACTTCAGCTTTATTGTTCCTTCCTGAGCAAATTAAATTACATACATCCTGCAAAGAACGATATCGTTATTCGAATAATACTATAATTTCAGCCTCTATAATTCATACAATAAGTCCACATGCTTATAAATTTTCGAGACATTTTGGAGTACTCATATTACCTCATTCAGGTACAGTCAAATCGATATGTAGTTCGTTGTTAACAGATCCAACATTCGAAGAAAGACAAATGTCGTTATCTCATGCAGAAAATGTATTTAAATTATTAGGTGAGCGTGAAAAATATGTCATTTTGATGATGGATGAAGTTCATATAAAGCCATATTTAGATTACAAGGCAGGCAATATTGTAGGAACGGCATTTAATAATTCATGTTCAGCAAATTCCGCATTTGTCTTCATGATAGCAAGCGTTATGTCAAATGTAAAAGAAGTTGTTCATATAAGTCCAACATCGAAAATAGATCACCTCATGATTTTTTCTTTAATAAAGAGGATCATAAATAGATTAGAGGTAATTGGTTACATAATATTCTGTATTATCAGTGACAATAATGCTGTCAACAGTAAAGCCATGAGTAATTTTGCAGAAAAACCAAAACTCAGTATTGTTTATCCTCATCCCGCAGATACATCACGTCCTCTTTTTTATCTTTTTGATTCTGTACATTTGTTGAAATGCATAAGGAATAATTGGCTCAATTCGAAACCAGATCAGAAATTGAATTATCCCGATTTTGAAACAGGGGTTGAAAAAGTTGCTTCTTTTCATAGTTTGAAAACCCTTCACGAATTAGAACATGATGAATTATTAAAATTTGCATATTCGTTGAACCTGAAGGCGCTATTTCCCACGAATATGGAAAGACAAAACGTCTCTTAAAATTTTCAATGATTTTATAGTACAGGCTCTTTTGAAATTTGGATCAAACATTGAAAACTCTGCAGGCACTGCTGGATTTATCAACCTGATACTCAAGTGGTAGAAAATTGTGAATGTCAAAACACCTCTCAAGGGCAAACGTTTGAATGATGTGTTTCAAGAACCTATCACAGCTATAAATTTTTATTCCGATGAAAAATTCATTTTCTTGCATAAAATGATAGATTGGTTAGAAACTTGGAAATCTGTCAATTCTACTAACAAACCAAACACATACTGCTCTGATTCACACTTTATATGGAATGATAGAAGTTATACAATATTGTTTTAACGAACTCAAGATGAATTATGTTTCACTAGGAAAATTTCGAACAGATGATTTGGAACATAGGCTCGGGAAATATCTTCAACTTTCAGGTGGACAATATCACATATCTATTCGACAATTGTATGAATCGTAAAAATGGCCCAGAATTCAATCACTGCTCACGCTAAAATCTCGTACTTACGGTAATATACAAATCAGGCGCTTCCACGAAAATATTGATTTCACCGAAGAAATCCAAGAAAATCATTCTTTCAATCCAGATATCATAGTCGAGGAATCTGATGTAGATAAATATAGTGATGACATGCCGGTAATAACCTATTTAGCAGGTTTTTGTTGCTATATAACACTTAGAAAAATTCAGTGCGAATTTTGTAAACAGAACTTGATTTATAATGATGAATTAATAATAGAAGACAATTACACTCTCATAAAAAGTATGAGTAGAGGAAAATTACTCTATCCGCAATATTTGATTGTGCAGTTGGTTTTGTATTCGTATATTATATTCAACAAAATCATCTCCGAATTCGAGGAAATATTCTTGAATGTTCATAATAAACGGGCATTTTTAACTCAATACATTCTGAAATTTCTTTCTGAAAACGGTCATTTGCCTCGTGGCAATGAATGCAGAATTCATTCCAATGATCAAATTGCAACTATTATATTAACATGTACTACAAACACTTTACTTAATAATTACTGTTTCAAGTCTAACGACCAATTGGGTAAAAAATCCAACAACAGGAAATTGAAAACACTCACTGGCTAATTTTTTTGGTAATAGGAATTCTCCAAGATGAATATAGGTAACTAGGTATAACAAACGGCATGTCTATCAAACTAAAATACATTTTCCCCAATTTTCTTTCGATCAATCTCATGATAAGTTTATGTTCTGCGGACCCTGTATAAGTAGGTGTGAAGTTTACCTCTAATGAGATTGAATCACTACAATTTTTGCCAATATATTTAATTCGAATGGGTTGCTGTAGGTGGGTATTTGTGTTTTATTCTGGTTTTTGCTTTGAAACTTCGTTTTTCCATAATAAAATCGAATGGGATGCGAAGAAGGGCTCAGTTGACGGCTGGCATCCTCTTTCAACCGGAAGCCCTTAAAAAAAAGGAAAATCGGCTTAATAATGATCTTAAACTGAAATCGAAATACGCGGTCGCCTTATAGCGCTATCAGCGTTTGTCGTTTCGAGCCGCTGGTTAGGCCTGACTAAGTGACGTCACCCACGGAGCATGCAGGCCTTGTTGTATCGGTTGTAACGATCGAACTCGGGTCCTTTGCATTATGATACAGCGTATATACGCACTGAGCCATTCAGGAGGCCATAGTACATAAATCTTCAGAAGGCATATCAGCCAATAGAGTGAGGTGCGTGCCTGATAAGCTGAAGTTCCCGGGTTCAATCCCAACTCGACTCACATTTTTTTTCCTTTTGTCGAAGGGATGTCCCTGGAATAGCCTTGGGACGTCCTAGACATAGCCTTCCTTCGTACTTGGTACATCCCAGGATATCCTTGGGATGTCTTAGTATGAAATTAGGGACATCCCTGGAGAGTCCCTAGGATTCACTTGTGTTGTTAGGGATACTATCCACTGCATGCAACGAACGAGTCACGTATAAGTGTGTAAGTGATATTGGTTGTAGATGTGGCCAGGTTAGGTTAAGGTACAGGAATGTCTGGCTCACTAACCTTTGTGGATAAAACGTTTTCATTCGACGTAGAAGATAAAAACTCTTCGATTTGTTGGGGGATCACAGTTTTCGATTTCTCAGGTTTGTATCCATAATCTGATTGCTTAGTTTTGCTCACATAAATATTCTGTTCAACGTTTATTGCCATTCAGA